GATATGATTGATGCCCGTCTCCTCTGTACAAACTCTGATCGATCGCTGAATCAACATTGCAGTAATCTTCATATTATGATTTTGATTTAAGATTATCCTAAGCCTGTGTGAACGACCATCCTGGTTGATAAAACTGTGTCGTTTTAACCCTTGCTAGATAATCCCTAACAACCGACAACTCAGTACGGTAAATACTCGCTAAATTCGGTCAGAATATTGATTTATAAAATTTCCCTAAATTATTCAGAAGGAATTAATTTGAAAATTTTGAAAAGACATCTGAGTAACTTAAATTGATAAATATTTGAAGAGTTACTCATTGAAACTCCAACAGATCCAGTATTTAGGAAATGGGGAAACACAAGGAAAAATAAGGATTAAAACTGTAAACGATAACAGGTTATTTTTAATACAGAGGGAACAGAGATAGAAAAATCCTTCATTTTTCTTCGTTCTGCTTCTTTTTTTTCTTTGAGAGAGTGAGAAGGGGAAAAAGGGGGGAGAGAAGGGGCGCTTCAAAAATTTAGGATCGAGGTTCCTTAAAGTTTGAAGTATTTGCTCTAAGTTCAAATCCAGGAGATTTATTTCATTCCCACCCTTTGTCACGACTTCTCCTTAAGAGGCACTCCCCACTCTTACATGTACCCCCTCTCTCTCTCTCTCTCTTGCAGTATCTGATATAAGGACACCGTTCCAGATTCTACTGTTCCTATTCCAATCGACCAAGGATTATACAATGACAAATAAAACTTCGAGTCAGCGTGACAACCTACCCAGGTTTTATTACCATTATAGCTGAACTGACTGAAGTATGGCATTCCAAGTGGACTGTTAATGACATTTGAAAACCACGTATTATATGTAAGCTGTTTATGTAGGTCTACACTGTGTACTTGTAAATGCACTGTGGGCCTAGTACATGAATAGTCCTACCAGTAGGCTAGGTCTACATGTAGGCCTATGTTTAATTCGTCCTGACCAAGTAAGAGAACATTAATTTAGTTTAACAAGATACAGTCACGACTCTCTCGGGGTAGTATGAAGCTCCCATTGCATGAATAGGAAGGTGTCAGATTAGCCTAATATCCAATTTGAAAAATCAGTTATTCCCCCTACATTCAAATCCTGGCCAAAGAAAAGAACATTTTAGTTGAACAAAATACAGCCACGTCTATGTATCTCTCCTTCGAGGAACTATGAAGTACCCATCGCGTGCATGTGAAGGCGTCAGAATAGCCTAATATCCCTTTTGAAAAATCCGTTATCCCCCTACATTCAAACCCTATGGAACAAATAGCTACATGTATGACTACACGGCCGCATACACTGGTGTGTAATACACGCTGTCCGTGGTTTAAACCCGTGGTCCTAACACCAGCCGTCCACTGTCCAGTACTCACCTGTTAGTTGACCAAGTCTCCATAGCTCTTAGTGCCCTTCTCTCTACAGCGGTTGACTCATTATCGCCAAAGTTTGCCAACACTGCTTAATAACAATGCGACCTCGAGGCCGCCATGCGAGCCTCCAGTTTACCCTAGCAACGCTTAGCAACAACCTCAGGTCGCTCCGATAATCCGAGCACGGTCGAAGAGATGAAGGGTTTTCGAGCGAGTGGGTTTATCAGATTTATCCGTTTTGATATATTGGCTGATGTTTAATTATAGTAACTGTGCTTTATTCAGCTCTTTCAATGTCCTTTCTCTAGCAATTTTTCCGCCAGGCAAACGTGTAGCCCAATCACAACGCCCTCTGGAGAAATAGTAAAATACACAAACCCAAATAATGCCTTCTTTGTGCAAGAGTGGCCGTACAAAAGGCGATTTAACCAGCAATGTGCGTTTAAACTTAATAAAAGGGGCGCTGTGTGCATTTCACTGTTATAAATACTGCTAAGGAAAATGTCTCGCTTTTCTATGGCCTGTGTTTGTTTTCGCAACGCACGTGTAATATGGGGGGGGGGGTCATGTGCATGTAACCACTGTACATTTTCTTCCGTGTTTTAAAGTCAATGTTTTTTTGCTTATTTGTTTGACATGTAGACTTAATCTGAGTTTCATGAATCTTTTTACGCCTGTTTAATAAACATATGCAGTGCGGTATTCATGATATCCACTTAAATTCTTCATTCAACTAATTCTGATTTGTTTTTAAATTAATAATGATGATGCTTTGATTTTAATTAATTATGTTCCTGCTAAGATTATCATTCGAACATCATATACTGATAATCTAGGGTGTTTGTTTTCATTTTCACTGCACAAAAGATAAGTTTATTTTTGGTTTGATTTTTACCATTCGACTTTGTGCTAATGTTAGAGAGAACTTTTCAGAAGTAGCATTTCTACGTGAAGCTGCATGTAACCGTTCACCATACAAATACAGATTCTATTCCAGCTTTTGATATTTTTTGATGTAGCAGTATAAATATCACCGATTTCAATTTTTGTAACCCAATCTAAGAAAACTTGTTTTCTTTACCTTAATAACTTTACGAAAATAGGGTCCCACATGAATGCTCATAGCTTTTTTTATGTTATTTAATTTCAGTTTTTGTCTTTTATCTTATCTAAATGATTCAATTTTTTTAAAATTTTGTTCCATATTTTGTATAATTTTATTTCATTTTATTTAACATGGCATATTAAAAATGGGTCACATCAGTATATCAGTAACAGAGCAAAATTCTATATTTAAGAACACTCGACATAAATGTCCAAAAGCTGAACAAAGATGCAGCAGTGATCATATAAGAAAAGCGTATGTGACACCACAGCGTTTTTTCAGACCTGAAAACCATCCATAATAAAATAGCAAACCATTCAGTAATTTGACTTACTCTAAATCTTACTTTAAAATCCCGATAAAACACCCACCGTTCATAAGTTACGGAAACGACGAAAAAATCAAGTCTATTTTTATATCCAGAAAATGTTTGGTTTGAGGGGGCTTCCCCTGTGACGTCATTCAGATCGATACGGAACCAAGAAGGTGAGTGGCGCCTCAAAATTTTTTACATAATTATACGACATCAATCTGACCATTGTGTTGGTTAAATTAATAACTATATTTGGTAGATATGAGGATTGACTCGCAATGTTAATTGCAACACAATTCACTAATTAAACAGTTATGAAATATATAAAGTTCGATCTAAGACAAAATGGCGACATACCGCGGTAAAGGACAAACACGCCGGTGAAAAACTCGAACTGAAAACGATAACAAGCTTATCTACTGTATCAACCAAACCATAAAGAGTTCTCTAACGATGGCTGTCTACATATGTACACTTAAGGTAATGTAGGTAAGAAGCGTTTATTAAGCTCTAATGTTGTGTTTTTAAAAGACTAGTGAAAATATACAAATCATTTGGGATTGAAAGGTTGGACTTCCTTATCTTCAGCCTCACAACATTAATAATGATGTAAGTAATAATTCATAAGCGATAAAGATAAATAGACCTTAACCGGAGCCTTTTATCAAGCCCCATATCAAGCTTTTTTTTTTAAATCTAATTCGAAACCTGGAAATGTCCATTTCGATGGGGATTCCCCTTGACGTCATCTATATCGATAGTGAAACAGAAAGGTAGGTAGGACCTCAAAACAATGGTTCTCCCAGTGTTTGAAATAATTATATGATATCACTTTGAATTAAATAGCATATATAAATGTATAAAACGCAGCATTTCATAGATAGGATATAACACACAGTGTAAACTGTTACCATGCTTCACTAACTTAGAAGGCGTAATGACATCCGATCATCTACAAAATGGCGATCTACATTATTGAGGCCAATGACGTAAAACGGCTTAGTTTACCTCATCAGGTCATTGCACACGGAGCTATTTAAAAGCGTTTAACTAATATAAGCGAGATCTAGAGTAGCGTGCAAGATCACCTGCTACAGTGTAGCATTACCGGTAGCTACCTGTTACATGTTAAAAACAGGGCGATACTACTAAGTACACTGAGATTTTTTTTATCTTAACATTTTAGAACCTTTTAAAGAAAACTGTATAAACATTATCATGTACCCAGAATAATGGAGAAGCAGTGTTTCGGAATTCCCCACGTTCAATTCACAGTCGGTTCCCGAGAGCGATGCATTACATTCATTGTAATTTACAGAAATTTAGTACAAGTATACAGGGTGTGGGCGCGTTATATGCAAAGCACAGACAGTATATACTATATCACGCCTTCGTGACGTTATCAGATGGTGTTTGGGTGGGCACAATATGTTTACGGATTGTATTCAAACCCAACAATAACACATATCGCCTTTTATTCAGACAAAATAAAGAAAAGTCAAGAAAAACAGCAGCAACTTTTTTTTCGAACTTATTTAAGATCAGGAAAATTTCCAGTTGGATGGGGATTCCCCTTACAACAAGAGAAAACGGGGTGGGTTGAGTCGATCAATTGCCCTGTTTCACCTTGTTCTAAAATATTTATCCATTTATTTTGTAGTAGGGATTTAGATCGTAAATAATGAATTCGTTAACATTTACTTCAAGACGTTTACTGTCGAATTTCCTATTTTTGACCACTCTAAGAGGATGTTGATTTAAATGATTGTCTATCCTGTAATATTTGCCCAAGGTCATACTACGTGTACCAGTAGCAGTGCGTATGTTGTCAAAGGTTCACTCTAAAATGAAACTTGTTCTACACTACTGGTGTTAAGTATACCAAACCACTTTCAGCACTATGTACTTTTCGACAATTTTATTTGCAATAGGATGTGATAAGTGACTTCATAAATGTATAATACAACATGACGATGTGTTTCAGCAGTAATTATATTACATCATTGTCCTATTTGTAGAATTTTGCAGCAGACAATTCTTGCTATGCGAAAATTATTATTATTATTCTGAAAATTATTATTATTCTGAAGGTTGTATCAACATGTAACTCCAGGTCGGCTGAACAAACCTTATATCAGGTGCATAGTCCTTCCCAGTGACTGCATCTGGTTAAGACACACTCACGATGCCGTTCCTTCTCGACGCCGCTGCAAAGATTGGAGATATCGACACAGTGCGTCGCCTGCTAGAAAGTCAAATATACTATGTAAACGAGAGGACAGACATGGATGGATGGGGTGGACTTGTAAGTATTGCCAAAAATGAGCATGCAAAGCATATTGAGAATTTGCTACTGATATGAATAAAAAGGCAGTAATTGGAAATTGATAATAGTTGATAATAGTTACACAGTAACATGCCTCGCAAACATTGTACAGAACGCGTGGAGCACTGCGCTGAAGGTACATGTAAATGCATGCATGGTGCTTGAAATGTACACGTTTTAGTTTGGTTGCGTTACACAAGTAGTTTTTAATTGTTTAAAATGCATTTTCGTCCGTTAACATTACACGTGGGTTTTTATACTCTTTTTGAAACGTGTGTTAACCGAATGTGGCATGTAATTAATACTTCATACTTTTATAAATAATGAATATTAAAATAATAATCTCAAATTAAGGAATCAAAAGAATCTTAATTCAAAGTCTAGTCCTTAAATCCGTGTATAAAACCATTTGTGAATTTTCAAAAAAACTTATAAGTTCGATTTGACACTTGAAAATAAAACCTCTTTGGTCTCTCTTTGTTACATACGTAGTAATCAAATATACAGGGTTACTGCTTAATATGGAATTTTTTATCATTGTTATTTTTGAGTGCTTATCAAAATTTATTTGGCTTGACCCATCAAAAAAGTATGTCATTGAGTGATAAAAATATCCAGTCTTCAATTGTGAGATATTTTGGTCAATAATATCAAATATGACATAAGATGGCATTCAAAAGAAAAGAACACCCCCAGAAAATCATATCAACAGTTTGATGTCAGTATTAATTTTAAGCTCAAATATTAAAGAAAATGGTAGCCTCCTGACAGTGATATGTTACCCAGTCAAAGAACTCATTACAGTAAATCATGACCAGTCATCAATAGCGGGTATAACTTCCAGCAGCCGCTTGCAGCGCCCTCATCCTACTCCCTGTGACAAGTTTTTTAGAGTTTGGATGGGGATATCATTCCACGCAGTGATATTTGCCTGGCGCAGTTCACTCTTTAGCGGCCGATGACCATAGTTATTAATTCTGTGAGTTACTTCCGCCCACAGATTTTCAATTGGGTAAATATCTGGAGAGTTTGCAGGCCAGGGCAGTTGTTGAACCCATCGGTTTTGAAGAAAAACAGTGGTTCTGCGAGCTCGATGTGGGGTTGCGCAGTCGTCTTGGTACACAAAGTTGTTCCTGAAATGACTCGTACAAATCGAAGCATTGTTTGCTGTAGAATGTCTCTGTAGGAACCCTGGTTGAGATTGCCTCCTAGAAAAACCAAATGGTTCTGGGCAACGGCATGAAATGCTCCCAAAGCAAAAATGTTACCATCCCCTGTTTGCACCCTAGGTAGCAAATAATCATCGTTTATGCCTCTTGTACGCGTCGGCGGACACGGATTCGGCAGTCAACCCTATAAACTCCATATCTGGCCTCATCACCGCAAACCGACGTGTTTCCAGTGTTTTGGCTGCAAACGCACGTGATCCCCAGCCCTTTGCCAACGTCGCTGTATATGACCTGCTGTTAACAGTGGTTTCCCTACTAGTCTTCGTGCAAAATAACCGGCTTGCAGTAATCTCTTGTTCACGAGGGACCTTGAAACGGGCGTTTGAATGACATTCTGCCACTCTTTTCTGAGGACACTGCTTGTCTTTGTACGACCAGCACGGTTCACTCTAAGTAGAAAGCGAACCTGTCTTTTTGTTATGATACGCGGACACCCTGGCCGAGGTGTTGGAGCAGGTGCTTTTGTTGTAGCTTTACTTTGGAGGACTTTACTAACGGTTCCTGATAAATGTTGCATCGCCTGGCAACGGCTGTCCGTTTCTGACCATTTTCTCTGAGAGCAAGAATCCTATTGTAAGCTGCGTTGCTCAGCTGTTGAACCATATCTTCTCTAAGGTACCTGTCAAGTTTCAGAGCGATTGCTTCTGTAATTACACGCCAAAGATTGGCCAAACCCATGCGTTTTTATACAAGAGCAGAAATTGCCGAAAAGACCACCCTTCACATTTCTGACCACAGAACATGCAACTGCATGCATCAATTGTTTCGAGAGTTGTGTGGCAATTAGGTAACACACCTAGCTACATATGGAGTGACACCTCAATTTTGGATTTAATGAAGTTAGAGAGAAAATAAATATTTTGTAGACAATTTACTGGCCAAAAAATAATATTCCACATTAAGTAGTAACCCTGTATTTAATGTATTTTTGCATTAACATATTATGTTTTTTAAAAATTATTATTGATACGTGAATAAACCTATTGCGGCATGTAATTAATCTTTAATACTCTTAAATAATCTCATATTGAAAAATCTAAGAATCTTAATTCGAGGTCCAGTCCTTATATCCGTATATCGAATCATTTGTGAATATTCAAATCAAAGAACTCTACAGTCTATCTTCCTTAAAATGTAAACCGAAACCAAAGAAGCCGTAAGCCCTACAAAGGAGGAATTTTGCAATGTATTCGAGTTTTAAGAAAGACACCTCAGATATCTTTGAAATAACAAAAAACCTAATATATACCAACATTACGCACGGCCTTACAGGATACACGTTAGCAGTCTTCCCTTCAATAACACATTAGTATAAATATCAACATGTACATCATCTCCCTTACCTGCTGTGATGTACTAGAATATCATCTCTTTGATGCTCTGCTGTTTGAAGATCAAAATAATTTTGATTTATTCAATTAACATTTATCCCATTTTATAAAAATCCACTTACATGACATAAAATATCTGTCTGTCTGGTATGTCGCTTAATTGAAAACATTGTGTATCTCCAGTATGGCTGGACACCTCTTCATTACGCTGCTACAGTGCCGCCGGAATGTCCCCTTACTTACCCTCCGGGTCGCTGCGGGTTGTACGGACGGCTTGGCTCAGTAACTATGGAAATAACATTGTCATCCATACGCTGTTTGGTTTCTGTCAACAATAGTTCCATACCCTGTCCGTCGGGTAATTATCGTGACAAACTTTCTGCTAACAAAAGAGCCCAACCCTAGCTCGCTGAGATAAAGATCGAAGGTGAGCGTGGTCGCAATTGAGTGTTCGTCCAAGCGTTAATTGACCTTTAATGCGCGGTGGCTTCACTCTACTTTGATCACTCTACTTTGATACGGAGATTTTAAGTATAAGAACTTGCCAACAGTGATTTTTAAAAGTCGCTTTACCAAAAAGATTCGCTGATGACAGCAATTTTCGTGTACATTGTAGCTATGAATTGATTGAATTTACATAGAGTTTAATAAATGAATTTATGAATTTATTAAAGATCAAATAAAACACTACTCGTACTTGTACATGTAATATTTATTAGGCTTCATTATTATACATATTTATTATACATATTATGAACAAGATTGAAATTAATGTTTATAGTATGTCCTTATATTTCTATAAGCTTTGTTCATAGACGAAATGCATTTTTTCCAAAAAGACTTGTCAGTTGTTTCAGTGATAAACATTTTGTTAGCCATATCTTTAATATAGTTCTGTCTATATTTGCATATAGGATCTCTCCCATCTACACCCGTAACATTTCTGTCCTTTCGTATTCGTTCATCAATCGTAAACAACCTTCCCATCAACTGAACGCAAAAGTTGCCTGGGGAACTGGCCCGTTGTCGAATTTCGAATATTTCTTTATTTGACAAGGCGACGGGTGGCCGGCCGAAAGACTGATTCCTTGATTCTGTAGGACACAAAGTAGGAACTGTGTACGTGACCGGTAGCGGTAAAGTTGTACACCTAAATCTACAAAATCTACTTAATCTACAGGACACCTCTTCATTGCGCTGTTAGAGGTGGTCACTGCAATGCAGTAACTCTCCTCATCCAGCACGGAGCTGATCCCCACCGTGAAGACATTGTAGGTATATGTGCGGTGCTTGAAAAAACAACCCAATCATCAGCCTCTCTTTTTTATATACGCAGAAATTAAATGTATTTAATTAATTTTTTTCGTAAACATATTGTGTGTTCTTAATATTATTATCATTGGTACGTTTATAAATTAATTGCGGTATTTAATCAATCTTTAATACTCTAAAATAATCTCAAATTGAGAAATCGAAAGAATCTCTATTCGAGGCCCAGTCCTTAAACCCAAATATCGAATCCTTTGTGAATTTTCAAAATAAAGAACTATACAGTTGGATTTTACACTTTAAATTGTTGAAAATAATATCCCTTAAAAAATGTAACCCGAAAACCAAAGAACCCGTACAAAGAAAGAAATTTGAAACGCATGCGAGTTTTAAGAAAGACACCTCAGATGTCTTTGAAATAACTGAAAATCTGGTATATTCTCAACATTACACACGGCCTGACTGGATTATAAACGGATAAAGGTAAGCTGTTTTCCCTTCCATATCACATAAGTTTTTATATCTACAGGTACATCATCTCCCTTACCTGCTGTGATATACTTGTATGTTATCTCTTTGAGGCACCGCTGTTTGAATGTCAAAATAATTTTGATTTATTCAATTAACAGTGCATCCCATTTTATAACAATCCACTTACATGGCATAAAATATGTCTGTCTGGTATGTCGCTTCATTGAAAACATTGTGTATCTTCAGGATGGCTGGACACCTCTTCATTACGCTGCTTTGTGTGGTCACTGTAATGCCGCAGCTCTCCTCATCCAGCACGGAACTGATCCCTCCAGTACTGACAAGGTATGTATAAGTGTGTTATACTTGAAATATACCACCCCTTCTTTAGTTTCTCTGTGTTATATTCGAAGTAATTGAATATCTTTAAAATACCGATAACTAAAAACTGCTAATATTTCATCAACATTACACACGGTCTTGATATTAATAAAGCATTTTAATGCTTATCCCTTAAAAGGGATAAACGCTAGCAGCCTTTCCTTTGACAACACATTAGTATAGATACCAACATCTACATAATCTTCCTTACGTGCTTGCGTATATGTCATCTTCCTTAAGCACTGTTTTTTAAAGATGAAAATAGTTTAGATACATTTAATTGAAAGTGCCCCCCCCCCTGTTTTATAATGATCCATTTACATTTCATACAATGTGTCTGTCTGGTATGCCACTTCATTGAAAACATTGTGTATCTTCAGCTTGGCAGGACGCCTCTTCATTACGCTGCTAGAGGTGGTCACTGCAATGCAGTAACTCTCCTCATTCAGCACGGAGCTGATCCCCGCCGTGAAGACATTGTAGGTATATGTGCGGTGCTTGAAAAAACAACCCAATCATTAGCCTCTCTTTTTTATATACGCAGAAATTAAATGTATTTAATTAATTTTTTTCGTAAACATATTGTGTGTTTTTAATATTATAATTATTGGTACGTTTATAAAGTAATTGCGGTATTTAATCTATCTTTAATACTCTAAACTAATCTCAAATTGAAAAATCGAAAGAATCTCTATTCGAGGCCCAGTCCTTAAACCCAAATATCGAATCCTTTGTGAATTTTCAAAATAAAGAACTATACAGTTGGATTTTACACTATAATTGTTGAAAATAATATCCCTTAAAAAATGTAACCCGAAAACCAAAGAACCCGTACAAAGAAAGAAATTTGAAACGCATGCGAGTTTTAAGAAAGACACCTCAGATGTCTTTGAAATAACTAAAAAATCTGGTATATTCTCAACATTACACACGGTCTGACGGGGTTATAAACGGATAAAGGTAAGCTGTTTTCCCTTCCATATCACATAAGTTTTTATATCTACAGGTACATCATCTCCCTTACCTGCTGTGATATACTTGTATGTTATCTCTTTGAGGCACTGCTGTTTGAAGGTCAAAATAATTTTGATTTATTCAATTAACAGTGCATCCCATTTAAAAAAAAATCCACTTACATGGCATAAAATATGTGTCTGTCTGGTATGTCGCTTCATTGAAAACATTGTGTATCTTCAGGATGGCTGGACACCTCTTCATTTCGCTGCTATGTGTGGTCACTGTAATGTCGCAGCTCTCCTCATCCAGCACGGAACTGATCCCTCCAGTACTGACAAGGTATGTATAAGTGTGTTATACTTGAAATATACCACCCCTTCTTTAGTTTCTCTGTGTTATATACGAAGTAATTGAATATCTTTAAAATACCGATAACTAAAAACTGCTAATATTTCATCAACATTACACACGTTAATACACATATTAATAAAGCATTAACGGATAAACGTCAGCAGCCTTTCCTTCAACAACACATAAGTAAAGATACCAACATTTACATAATCTTCCTTACGTTCTGTTGTGCATATTTACTCTCTCTGAAGCACTGTTTTTTAAAGATGAAAATAGTTTTGATACATTTAATTAACAGTGCACCCCGTTTTATAATGATCCATTTACATTTCATAAAACTTCAGGATGGCAGGACGCCTCTTCATTGCGCTGTTATATGTGGTCACTACGATGTAGCAGCTCTCCTCATCCAGCACGGAGCTGATCTTTCCAGTACAGACGAAGTATGTATATGTGTGTTATACTTGAAATATACCACCCCTTCATTAGTTTGTCTGTGTTTTATACGAAGTAATTGAATATCTTTAAAATACCGATAACTAAAAACTGCTAATATTTACTGCTAACATTACACACGGTCTTAATATTAATAAAGCATTTTAATGCTTATCCCTTAAAAGGGATAAACGCTAGCAGCCTTTCCTTTGACAACACATTAGTATAGATACCAACATCTACATAATCTTGCGCTGCTGAAGGTGGTCACTGCAATGTAGTAACTCTCCTCATACAACACGGAGCTGATCCCCGCCTTGAGGACAATGTAGGTATATGTGTGGTACTTGAAAAAACAATTCCTTTATCGGTCTCTCTTTGCTATATACACAGAAATTAAATATATAGTTAATTTATCTGTATTAACATATTATGTGTTTTTATATTATTATTATTATTGATATGTTTATAGACTAATTGCGGAATGTAATTAATCTTTAATACTCCAAAATAATTTCAAATTGAGAAATCAAAAGAATCTCAGTTCGAGGCCCAGTCCTTAAACCCGAATATCTAATCCGTTGTGAATTTTGAAAATAAAAATCCATTCAGTTGGATTTAACACTTTAAATTGCTGAAAATATTCTTTAAAAATGTAACCCGAAAACCAAAGATCCCGTACAAAGAAGAAAATGTGAAACGTATGCAAGTTTTAAGAAAGACTCCTCAGGCTGTTGATCATGTCGAAAAGTTACAACGTGCTGTTTGCGTCCTCCAAAAGCCGCACTGTATTCCATGAAATTATTTTGTTTAATGAAATTAATATTATCTATCCTTGATTTGCATCATCACACTAAGAAATATTCAGAAAATGGATGAAAAGCTTGTAACTTTGTACTCTTTACTTTATATTTGTATATAAATATATATATTCTTCGGGGGGAATCGTCCGGGGGGAATTGTCCTTGGGGGGAATTGTCCGGGGGGGAATTGTCCTGATACCAAATATTCCATATTAAATGTCAAGTCTGTATCTACATCATTTCTTAGCAGCAGTTATAGTGTTACACGTATTTTAGACAGTCTTGTTTGTAAAGGAAAATGGGAATGGTATAATTCCTTTCCCTCCCACATTGGTAACAGTCATTCAATCAAAATATCTAATCAATATGTTTGAAAATACTTAATTTATGGCTGTTTTAGGAGGTGTCAAGGCCAGGATGAACAGCAAAATAGGTCAATCTACACATAATTATTAAAAATATAAAATAACGCTATTATCTGACTAGTTTTAATGTTCTGTTATTCTCAACAGAGCGGGAATTGTATGACACATGTTGAATAAATCAGTTTATTTGATTTCAGTTCGGTATAAAGCCCAGTTATTGTGCACGGTGTCATGGTAATGGTGATATAGACACGCTGCTGAGGAGGTTTGAAAGTGATCATATCCAGGTAAGTTTATGCACAGCATACAAATACCTAGCACATGAGTTAAATATCATAACAGTTGTGTAGCATACAAGAAACGCCAGTCAAATCTACACTAAGCATGATCATGATTTAATTTTTTACATTTTTCTTACTTACCATCTGAACTGATAGGTTTGATTGTAAACCTGATGCTGTATGTGTGACCATGGTAGCTACAGTACTCATCCGACGACTTTAAAACCTCCCTGCCTTAGAACATTTCTGTAATATGGACGATATTGCAGGACTTTATTTCCAATACCAGTCAATGTTTTTTTTACTTATCATCCAGTGAGGGCACGCCCAATTAATCACATTTAAATTTCGCTATAATAATTGTTTCATTTAGATTGACCCGGTTCCTGTTAATGGTGATATATCTATAATAATATGTAGTAATTTCAAGTCTGACGTATTATCTTTTGCTGAAGTTTTTTTTTTTTTTTCTGTATATAAGAAAAGGTACCATCTCAAAAGGTGACCAAAGCTTTTTAATGCTAGAACATTCGGTACAATATAATATTCTTTTTGCTGTATATAAGAAAAGTAACCATCTCAAAAGGTGACCAAAGCTTTTCAATGCTAAAACATTCAGTACATCCGTATTACATTATCGGGATGGTATTCCTTAACGATATCTGTATTAAAGTTGAACGTTTATCAAAGAAAAGAAAGGCGGAACCGGGGAGTATCACAATAGGACACGTGCTTCCATTTCTCGTCCTTTATCTACTGTGTATATAAGAAAGCACGCATTGTAAAAACCAGCCATTGGTCTTTAAGGTTTTTTGTTGTTAATTTTTTAACCAAAAGTCAACTGAGAATGCCAGATACAGTTTTCCGCTACATAGTTTATTTAAGGCTAAAAGTCAAGTCTAAATAACTGTAAAGCTCTCTCTATCTGTCCGTCCCTCGAGTCTCAGTCCCTCCCTCCATCTCGATATCCCTTTATTCAACTGCATTTTAAATAGACCTTATCTAATATGCAACCAGCAACATATTCTATGTTACTGGCCTGAATATATTAAAGCTGAATCGTTGGTGCATTTCGCATAACATGTAACTTGTCTGAACAAATATAAAAATCACATTCAAACTATCAATACTAATTTTTCATGCAGCCTGCCACATACACATCTGACTTAATCAAAAATTAATTATAGATTCATTTCAATTTACCTGTCTGAACAGATATGCAAATCACTTTCAAACTGTAACTGCCACCATTTGTTCACTACAACTTCTTCTTATAACTGTCCAGAACCAGTCTCCCTCCCACGTTGTGTCCTCATGGTACATTGTACAGACGGATAGATCTAAAATCCCCGGCGTTGTTAAATTTGTTTGTTGCTTCCTTTGCCTCTGCTAGCCACTTTCATGGATATGCCACTTGTGTTAAAGCTTTTTAATAAGCTCTTAAGACAATCTCAGGACGCAGACGATAGTATACGAGGAGCAATTTTTTTCAGTCACGGCTGCATCTCGCATATAAATGATTCCACGACACTTTTGATCTGTGAGCACAAGTATATCTTCGCTCATTTTACTTACGAGTCAATTATCAAGAAATATCACCAACCCAGCTGCCATTTCTCCACGAAATGTTACAATTTGATTTTGAATAAGACATTATCCACGGCCCGACGTTGGGTATTCCGAGGCATTTTGCAAGACATGCTGTATATGCAAATGTTTGATGTTTATTAGAAAAAATATACAACATTTTATTTATTTATTTTTATTTATTTATTTTTTTTTTTTTAGGAATTCATGATAACGAGAACGTTGGAGCATGTCTCTGCCGAGATGAGCCTTGATGACTTTTTCCTTCCCACCGATGGGATCAATAATAATTTTCCTGGTGAGGTTGAAAAGCAAAAGGTCCAGCGGTTGAAGCAATGGGCAAATTCAAATAATTTCAAAACTATCCAAGGATTAAAAGCTGGCCTTACAGCTCAAGGACGCGAGGAGCTTTGCGGTGAGTTTACTCAGAATAAAAAAAAACGTGAATAATTTTGCAACTTTCTCTACTTTTTAAACAAAATCCATGTCAATGTTTTGAACGCCATTTCATTCATTATTTATTTAAACACTGACTGTGCTAGATTGGATACTCCGTTACTCTGTAAATAAATTAGTTTTGAAGTATTAATAACTGGTTCACTTTATTCACAAAGTCAGGAAATTGGGTATGATATATACCAAACTGTATTATTCTTTTCACTTATAGCAGGGAAATATATAATTCACTTTCATGGTAATTAAGCGAATTGCAATTTATAAGAATATATATATATATACATATATATAACCAATACCTATTATACCATTATCCTCAAATATATATATATATATATATATATACAGACTTGACATTTAATATGGAATATTTCAGTTTTAAGGGTATATCTAGGTAAAAATGCGTTCTTTTTTCAAAAAAATCAGATCTCACATAAGATATCTGACTGGAGACGTATGAAGTCANTCCCCAAATAAGCTAAATATTTTAACTGTTTTTTTATAATTTTATTTTTTACAGGGAAAGCGCTGTTTGAAATGCGCGTCTTCCTTTCATTACATGGCGTTATTCATTCTTATGAGTCGACATGTAAACGAAATAAAACTCCCATTGTGTATTTCAGTAATTGCTGCAAAACACTATGCTACCGTCTTCACGGAGATAAAAAATATGTCTACGAAACGCTACCACGATTTCCTTGAAGAACTTAAAACAGCTCAGTTTATGTTCCAAGACCCTTCTGAAGATGTGACAGAATCACAAAGTCAGGAAATTGGGTATGATATATACCAAACTGTATTATTCTTTTCACTTATAGCAGGGAAATATATAATTCACTTTCATGGTAATTAAGCGAATTGCAATTTATAAGAATATATATATATATATATATATATATATATATATATATATATATATATATATATATATATATATATATATATATATATATATACAACTGTATATATATATAAATATATAAAGTGCCAATACCTGTATACCATCGCCTTAAAACAATATCTTTGTTTGAGTGCCTTTATGTCAAAAATAATGTTTTAATGCATACAAATGGTAATACACATGTACATTCAAGAGACGGGTAATACATTTGCACTTCTTCATTGATGGTGATTAGCAAATACTCTACCAAAAGCTTCAGATCCCATGCGACTTGTCAGCCACGTGCATTTCATTTTCAAGCTTCTACATATTCATCCAGATTATGTGTTACATGTACCCCAAGGCACAGTTGATGTAGACGAGACACGTTTGTGATAAGCGCGGTAATTAAACCTTAATATTGCCCGCTGATGTTCTAATTCGACAAGTGGCCATGTGTATTGTATGAAAATGCCAAATAAAGCAATGACACTCTGAAACTTGCCTACAAATGTTCTAATTTACACTTTTCAATTTCCTAGCATGGAAGTTGAATCCTGCCATTACGATGCATACCTGATCCACGGCAGTTTTGATAAATTGGTAGTCGAGAAAGTACTGAAGGCAGTTGAGTCACACAAAATACGCTGCTGCTATGCACCTCGTGATTTCAAGTCTACAGAATCAACCGAGGCAAACATCAATGAAGCGGTGGCATTGTCCAGATGCGCTGTGGATTTCCTGTCTCGGAACTCCATAAGAGACAACTGGTGTAAACACGCAAGAGAATTGGCCGTGGTCAAGTCAATTGAGGTCGAAGACTTTGTGGTGATCCCAGCGATTTTGGACGTGAAATGGTCGGATTTGCCTTACGGTTACAAAGCCAGAAAAACCATCCAAATGGATAGCCAAGATTTTATCCCCACTCTTGTCAAAGCTATTAAAGGTATTTTTTCTTTTAGCTCATGTACTGTGTTAACAGTAATTTTATATTTACAGCATTTTATATTAAACTTTTTGTTACCCACGCCTATGTTTTAAAGGCAGACGGAGTGTTTCAGACAGAATTAATCATTCTCAGAGTGAAAGTGTTGATCCATACAGTTGTATTATTTTAAAATAATAAAAATGATTCTAATACTGGATTCTAATACGTTAAGACGGAATCACGCCGTTTATCATAACACTTAACCGTTTACAGGTTGTTGCAAGAAAATAACTGTTGCTACTAAGTTGCAAAGGCATCTTGAATTTACGGCAATTTTGCAACGCGTATTTATATCCACTCAAATGTAATACTGCGTCAGTTTCATGGTAAAAATTCATTTTTGCAAATTTGCAGCACATTTGCGGGAACAGTTTGCAAGAAGCCTAAAACTTTGCTAAGGGGATGTCTTCGGCATGTGAATTGGGTTGTCACTGGTGATAACGTTCCAATGTATTAGAATCATTTTCATTATTTTAGCATGAGGAATTATTTATACATATGAGGTGATATGTTTTGCGCCATATAGCGGTCTGCTACCTCAACTGGAAAAGACCATCTCTTGAGAGGACTGCTTGCAACGTAACAAATAAATAATGAAAACTGTGATTAATAATTTAAAATCCCATACTGTGTACGTGCATAGAGCTAATTATAGGAGCTCTGTCTGAATAAGCCGATGCCATACTTTCTGTAGCACTGATTTTTTTCCGTATGAGATTTGATTATCATTTATATTAATTTTATTTGAATCCCTTTTATTTTTCAATCTTTATTATTGCAGCGACTGGCTGAATCAATATATTGGTACACTTTACACACGCAGAATAAGCTTCAATATCTGTGTTCGCGATAATATTTTTCTCTGTGAATATCCTATATCCATTTGATAAAATTAACAAAGATAAATTATGCAATTTTTATTTCTTGAAAATTTAACATATACAGTATTAGATACAATTGAAGTGTTTAAATTGACCACCACTTTGATTAAATATCAATTCAGATATTTTTCATTGAAGGTCCGACAGCTGATCCATGCTATGGCGAGCTCCGCAGCGAGAACGAAAACGTAAAACAAGAGAATAATCTACTCCGCAGTGAGAATGAAAACTTGAAAGCAGAGCTACAAGAAATGAGACAACAACTAGAAGATTCGAATGCGTTGATCAGGCAACAGAAGGCAGATATGCAGAAAGAAGTGACCTTTAACTAACTGTAATGTAGATGATACATCTTGTTAAAGGAAGGAACTTTTTTGTATTTATGTGACTTAATTCTGCGGGGTTGGACGGAATGAGCTTTGCCTGTAGTTTAAGTCACTATTATCTATATAGCATGGCCCAAGGCTGGACCTTTTGACATCGCTCCTTGCTGAAAATTGCGGGAGGAAGAAAGCTAGTGTTTTCAATGCTGCGTTGTATGCATCTCCCTATTATGACTCTAATATTAGACGGGGGTAGGGGGCATTGTCTGGGTAATACGTAATACGTATCTACCCTCTACCAGGGCGACTGATAGATTTTTTCACAGATTTTCACAGATATGTCTCTAGATAGATGGATGGTCATTTTGGTTCAAACTCACTATGTTCAGAAATTCCATGTGGAAACAAAATTATCTCTGCGCGCGCGCCAAAGGCTTTGTACTTGCTCTGCATGAGCTGAGCTTCACAACGATGTGATATCTGCTCGTTACGCAACCAGTCTAAGGCTTTTTTATCTGTCACAGAAGAGCAAGTGATTAAAGTCAGAGCAATAAACTGTCTTCATTGCTGTCACGCAGTCTTAGACTGGACCTGCTAAGTGACAGTGCCTGAGCAGTTATGCAAACAATTACCATCCATGTAATCAGCCTCGAGATTTCTCAACAGGGTGAGTTTGAACCAAAATGACCATCTATCTATCTATCTAGAGACATATCTGTGAATATCTGTGAAAAATCTATGTCGCCCTGGTAGAGCGTAATACGTATCTGTCTGTATACATACAGGTAATGTACATGTAATAAACATGTATATACGGTATTTACACCGTTGGTCCAAAACGTTAGGCATATTTTCCAGAAAATTAAACCCATAAAGTTATTTTACGAGCCAGGATTCATGGTTTATGTTTATTTTGATAACTTATGTGCTTATTGAAGGAATTCGGTGGGATTTGACAGTTTACTTAATACTATGAGATATTTATGTATGACACAAGTGCTGAAGGGGGTCTTTGATCAATTTATAAATAATGGTGTAAGAGATAAA